CATGACTCTTGCGCCTCAAATGACTCGGTATCTGACGCTTCCAAGGAGAAATCGCAAAGTGAAAGCAGAGGCGAAAGCAACTCTACAGCCTCGGTCGCGGGCTGGGCGAAGAGTGCCTTGATATGTTCTGCTCCCATCCTATCGTGGGCGGACCATTGTGCCGCCGGGTCCAGTCGTTCAAGCAGGTTCTTCAATGCGCCAAAGATGGCCTCCCCCGTGCCTAGACAGCCCTCGAAAGACTGCAGCGTCTTCAGCTCAAAGACTGCGGCATTGTTCCTCTTCCTCTTCTTCGATGTAGAACCAGAGGCCTGGGCTTCGGTGCTCGGCTTCGCGACGCTCTTGAGAGTTTGTTGAAGAACCGCCATGAACTTTCGGTCGGCGAGGGACTTTGCGAGTGAAAAGAGAGGAATCCTTTGGAATGCGCAGTCGAGAATGCGCCATGTCAAGGGAAATCGTCGGATCGTGTCGGCTTCGTCGTTGTTCGCTTTCATGACTTTGAGAAGCCATCGGAGGACGCTCTCCTCAGCGGCAGAGAAGGGCCCCTGGCTGGCAGATGTGAGCTGCTTCCATACGCGGTCGAGGTTCTCGCCATTGGCTCCAGGGCCCGTCTGGTCGAGAGATCGCACTGTCTTGACCAAGTCCCTGTCCGACGTCTTCAACAGCGGTTAGTAGACAAGGATGGAGTTAAATATGACTGAAGAACTTACAATGGTCTCAGAAGACCTGCTTGGGCTTGCATCAGTCATTTCCACGTCCATGATAGGCAACCAACCACGAGGGACTTCAAAAGACGTGCAGATCTTTTGAGTGCGCTCAGGTGTAAGTCGCATCGACTCCCCGCGATTTTTGGCTGGAGCTTTCCCAAAAATTCGGGATTCTGCCGCCCCACCTGATCCAAAGAGGTCACCTAGACTTACACCGAAACTTACCGCCCTCGGGTGTTCATCATCAATTTGCCGGCTCTCTCCGAAAACATCACTTGGTTCAATTCCATAGCTAAGCTCCGACCTCGACAACACCATTGCGCATCGAGTCAATTGTGTAGGCACCGCTCCCCAGCTATTCGTTTGATCCATTGACACTGACGATCAGCTCCTTAGGGTATCGACGACCATGTCAGACACCTCTGTTCCCCCTCCCCCGAGCGCCGTCGCGCGCCCTGTCAGTGAGGCACTTCTCAACGAGAAGGTAGCTCCCCCTAGCCGTTACCAACGTCGATAACCCGAGATCCCTGACCATCTTCTAGTGGGACCACTGCCTGTCCAACCTCCTCGTCAAGTCTACCCTTGGTCTTGGCTTCGGTGTCGTCTTCTCGGTCCTCCTTTTCAAGCGCAGAGCGTGGCCCGCCTTCGTCGGCGTCGGTTTCGGAGCCGGACGCGCATACGAGGAGTGTAACTCCAGCCTGAAGCAGGCCGCCAGAGAGATCAGGAAGCAGGCATAAGATGCCACGACCGTCGAATCGATAGACGACGCGATCCGGATCGGAATACAGCTGTACAAACATACTACGCAACACGCACGTGAAGCTCGCTAGGGAGTCAGAAGCCGGCGGGCCCTTGTGCGATCACCCCGAGGAGCCGGTATACTAGGTTAAGGCGGGGACGAGCGAGGGAATAGAGTCTTTTTATTTGTCTGTCCATTCTTGACTGTCCTGTCCTGTCTTGCTTGCGTGCTACCGCCCAGCTGCTACGGATGGGGCGTTGGTCCTGAACCCCCGTTCACACCCTGCTCGTCGAAGCGCCTCGATGGTCTACGGCCACAATGTGCGGGTAAACATTCAGCGTTCGGACCAATCGACCCTTGAGTGTCGGCCATGGAGTGCTGTTCTAATTCCCGGGATGTGTCGTTGGAAAGCCCCGTCGATGTGCCGTCGAACTTTCCGATCCCGCTGGTACGCTCATTAGCGGGGTCTCTCCAAGGCCTGAAGATGTGCTTTGGTGCAAGGGATGCCGTATCGTCCCTCTCGAGGAGACTCAACTCGTTTCTCTCTTGTCCCGCCACCGAGTCGCTCCGTCGCTGGACGCCGTTGATGAAAACCTGTGTTGTGTCGTGTGCATCCCATCTCTCCCGACCATTGCTCTCCGGAAAGCTATTGGCCTCATGTTGTGCGCGGGAGCGCCTAGTTTTGATACCAATCAGGACAATGAAACCGAGGATACACGCAAGAACAAAGATGGCAATGGCGAGACAGAGGACTTCTAGGGGTGTAACCTGAGGCGTGTGTGGCGGCTGTTCAGGAGAAACTGTCTGGTCGTTTTGCAGACCCTTGCCAGCGGCGACGTCTCTCGCGTGTTTCATGAAGCTCGACATGTCTGCCGTGCCTCCAGGATTTGGGACTTGGATTCCGCCTCGACCGAAATGGGGTCTTGCCGCTCTGTGTCGCGTTGGCTTGAAATTGTCGGCAAGGCCGAGTTTGTGAATCACGAATGACATTGAGAACGGAAGTAATCAGTAGGTGTCTTTAGGTAGAGTCTAAGTTATTCTTGAGAAAAGGTCTTAGGGTGGTTGTGTGGTTGAAGTTGAAGAACCATTTGGACGATGCACCGTCCACAGTTCTCAGATGCATAGAAATAGTCAGGGTTGCCTTCGCCGGGGGTTGGGAAACTCAGATCAGAAGGTGCAATCCGCAATCAGAAGCTATGTGCAGGTGTATGTAGTAAGAAGGGGCAGAACGGAAAGGGCGGCCCTGACGTTCCTTATGAGAATCGAGGATTGTGGTACCAGACTTGTCCAGGATCATTGGTGCCTCTTGCCATAGCTTTGTGTCATTGATGTCTCGACTACCCGACTTCAAGTCGCCAGAAAGTGAATCGCCTGCCTTGCTTGTTCTGCGTCTTATCCGAAATCATCCGGATCCCCAAGATGATATACTGTAGCTTCCTTTGACGGGCGAGTTTGATAGTAAGAAGCAGAGACCTGGAAGCTTTGATCGAAGCTGAAATGCAACGTTTCGTGCGTAAGGTACCTTAGTGTCTAGCGACCATGTTATCACCTGGTTAGGGTTCACTATGAAAGATCGATTCCTTCAATGGATGAACTAACCTGCTACGTCAGTAGGTAGGTACATGGTTGGGGCAAGTATCGAGTACTGTAAGGAGGAACACAAGTTGAACCCTATCAATATAGGGCGTTAAATTTAGTACACAACGTAAGGGAAACCGTCACGTCCAGCCCGTCCAGCATCTGGTCATATGGCCATTCAAAGGCGCAGATTGCAGAACGTGTCGAGCAAAAGAAAACAAAAAAAAATCACTCATTTTACAAGAACTTGGGATCGGTCAAACGATAGAGGCTTGCCTCCTGAGTTCCAATCTCAAAGTCCCGGGGCCGTCCCGAAACCTCGGCGATTGCAGCTGCAGCCTCCGATGGTCTCCACAGCCCCGAGGGGCCGGCTCCGACAACAGCGATGACCGAACCGAGCTTAAACACCTTAGCCATAGGCTCATCTGCAAAGACAGTTAACAAGCAAGAAATCCTTCTGACTAAAGCAAATGAAAAAGGCTACTGCAACGATATGCAATTCGTCCAAGGAGAGAAATAATGAAGCGTCATTGAAGATTATAGTCGTGGAGTTGAAATCCGTCTACTACCATTGGGTAAAAACCATCGAGCCCCCCGGGCTGACTAATGCGGCAAACAATCAACTGCCGCCACCTACCGCCCACCACCTTTCACATCATAAGCTATTACCTTATTACCGAATATTAGCATCTTCAATTTTCTTCGACTGCCGCCCCCCGTTCAACGAATACCCACTGTCACGACCTCAGCATCGCCACAAGGCAGCTCAAAATGGCCTCTCTTCGGTGTATCCATAGCCCCTCGAGTGCAAATATCTTCGTGCAGCTTGCGCGCCGTACAACATCGACGTCGAACTCCCCGGCACCGATCCTTTCGGTACTTGTCCCGAGATGGAAGTCCGCCACGAACACGACCACTACCACCACTAGCAAGGCCGGCTTCGGCACAACCCGACAATACTGCACCCAGGGTGCTTCTAGGAGGATGATGCCCCAGCGCTTTGCTGGGAGGACGGTGCGACAGCAGACCCGAGCCCTCACGGCCTCCGCGACGAGGAGGCAGACGAGATGCGCCTGGAACCCGAAGACAGATGAGGAAGGGCAAGAGATGAAGCTCGATATCACAGATCGAGCAGGCAAGGTATGTGTAGCTTACGTGTACCCGAGCATCGAACAAAGGAGTTTCCGAAACCTAACAGCTTCTCTCTGCGTCAATAGCGTCTAGCAACTATCATGAAGAAGGACAATAACCCAAACCTAGCCCTGAGGATACAAGTCGAGAGCGGAGGCTGCCACGGCTTCCAGTACCTCATGAGCCTAGTTACCCTACCCGAGGGCGAGAGCGCAGATGACTGGTCTAAGGTCGTTGGGGAGGACGATACCGTGTTCCAATACCTACCAGAAGATGCCGACCCCACCAGCGTAACGTTTGAGGGACCAAAGGTGGTGATTGACGAGCCTTCGCTGGATTTGCTGAAGGGAAGCAAGGTGGACTTTACGATGGAGCTTATTGGGTCCCAGTTCAAGATCACGGACAACCCGTATGCGTCAAGCAGCTGTGGATGTGGGACCAGCTTCGACATCAAAATCTGAAGATGACCCAGCGTGGCTCTACAAGGGACGAGTCCAGTGGGCGCTCGGCATCCACTTGTACAATATTAATGTAATGCGTACGAACTCTCCTCCCGGATCAAGACATTGGATGCCGTGATACATCACGACAGTCACACATGCACAGTACACACATACAACTCTCTGAAGAGGCTTGCATTGCTACCCATTGAACAAGGAGGATGGAGAATCCAGTGGTCGTCAAATGATCAATTCACAAATTCCCTTTTGTGGTTATCAACGCCGTGCAACCGTGCCAATCATGTAATAAACCCTTGGTATTCTCAAACCTGCCGAAGTCCCGAGTAACTAGACAAACCCTGCCAAATCCCCATTTTTGTTGATCATGAAGCCGTACAAACGACCAGTTTAGTTCATCTGGCGGATGAGGGCGTTGATCTTCTCCTCGCGGTTGCCAAGGTCACCACCCTCGATGAAGTGCTTGAACTTGCGGGGGCGGAAGCCACCAGTGGGGTTGGAGAGCTTGAAGGGCCAGAGGAAGTTGGAGGCCTGCTTGAAGTTGGGGCCGACAGTGTAGATCTCGTGGATGAGATCCTCCATGCAGACGATGCCGTACTTGCCGAGGTTCTCCTCAATGATGGAGTTATCGGTGAGAGCGACGCGCTGCTTGTTGACCTTTCCGTAACCGCGCTTGTAGACGAGCTCCTTGACGGACTTGAGGTTGGGGTAACCGTAGGCAACCCACGGCTCGATGATCTTGATCATCTCGGTGGTGGCCTTGGTGATCTTGATGAAGACTCCGTTGTTGATCTGGAGGAGACGAAGAAGCTGGAGGATCTTGCGGGGCTTGGGGGCGATCTTGTTGATACCCTTGATGCGGATAAGGAAAATCAGGTTGGCCTCAGCGGGAACGTAGGCGGAGTCGTTCTCGCGGGCAACGCGGGAGAGGCGGACCTTCTCGCGCTCTGCGTCGCGGTACTCCTTGACGTACTTCTCAGCACGCTTGAAGATGACACCACGCTTCTCCTTGTTGGCCTTTGGGAAACATGTTAGCAATATGTTTCTTGGGTCAGATATGCATTGAAGATGTGAATGATCCGGCAAGTGTCAGACCCGAAAGAAGGTTAATTCCAACTGCATCGACCGTAGTCTAGTTGTGAAAGGTATGTTATGCATCATGAAGGCGGGGGAAGGGGTAGGTAGTGAAAACAGAGGTATACTTACAGCCTTGCGCTTCTCGGTGGCCGAGTTGCGCTCAGCGCGAGCCTTCTCCTGAGACTTGCGCTTCTTGAGAAGGGTCTCCGGAACCAGAACCTGGTTGGAGGTGGGGACGGAACTGTAGCAAATCAGATTAGTACGCAGTCCGACATACTGCAAGCAGCATGGGTAGAGCGCCGGTGCGAGAATTGTAGCTGAAGCGCGACATTCTCGCTGTGGCTAACTCGAAGTTCATGACTTTGATCGGTGAGCAGACCATGTGGTAGCAGGAGCTCCAAGGGAGCAATTACTGTGGCACTGTGCTCATCCGACAACACCTCGAAGCACAGCAAAGTGTTCAAGAGTATGTGCTCGCATGTGTATGGGTCTCCGAGCAAGCCTTTCAGCACTGCAAGGAGAATCCGACAAGCGGCAATGTTTTTAAGGGAGAACGGGTTACCGTTCATCCCCAACACCCCGTGCACCGTCTCTCAATCCGCAAGCCATATTCCAGGTCATGAAGGAAGGAGGGAGGTTGCCCAGGAGGGTTCGAGCTGAGAGCCAGGCATTCACGACGAGGTGAAGCAAGGACTCCAGCGAGAGGACCACGACAATCTGCAAGACATCGCAAACGGAACGAAGGGGGAAATGCTGCCGCTGCTTCTCAAGAGCATTGGTGTACATACGTGGTGGCGGCCATTGTGAAGGCGGGTTTGGTTGTCGTCGGCGGTTGTCGTCGAAAATTGGTCGCTGGATCAGAAGGAAGAGGGAAAAGGAAAAAGGCCGCGGGATCGCAGAAGTTTTACCCAAAATTTCGCAGGCTCCGCTGGGGCTAGTGCATGGGCCACCACCAGCAAATTGAAATTCTCACCGCCCTCATTTTTTCTCGCTTAGGTAGGGTTTCTCAGACGGCTAAGCCAATCTAGGTCGTTCTGCCGCCGCCAACCGCCCGACCCCCGTCAGGGCATTCTCGCCCACTTCTTTTGTTCGTGTGTGCAGGGCTGGGCTTTGTGAAATTTCGTTTGGGATTATTGCGAGCGACGGATCGAGAGAGCTTCCCTTTGCCAACCACTCCGACTAACCACCACCGAAAGACAATTCGTCAAACACAGCAGTCACGATGCCTCCCAAGTCCAAGACCGTCCGTCCCGCCCAGGAGAACATCTCCTTGGGTCCCCAGGTCCGTGAGGGTGAGTTTTTACCTGCGTCCCAATGGATTGTGACGTCGCGCGTTCAAACCGCATGCGCCGACCGCAAAATGTCAAAATGAAGCAATTTTGCTAACTACCCCGCGATCTTCAGGCGAGCTCGTCTTCGGCGTTGCCCGTATCTTCGCCTCCTTCAACGACACCTTCGTCCACGTCACCGATCTTTCGTAGGTCTCACCATCCAACGTTCTGCCTGCGAGTTCCGGAATACCCCTCCCTCGCTGGCGAACATGAAGACTATATCAATACCCGTGATGGTGCAAGATGGCTAACTGGGTGATTCCAGCGGCCGTGAGACCATCTGCCGTGTCACTGGTGGTATGAAGGTCAAGGCCGACCGTGACGAGTCCTCCCCCTACGCCGCCATGTTGGCTGCTCAGGACGTCGCTACCCGCTGCAAGGAGCTCGGCATCACTGCCCTCCACATCAAGATCCGTGCCACCGGTGGTAAGTTCTTGAACCCTCCAACAGTCCCTCATGAGCCGTCGAGCTGATTAAAATCTTCAGGTAACGGCACCAAGACCCCCGGTCCCGGTGCCCAGTCTGCTCTCCGTGCCCTGGCCCGTTCCGGCATGAAGATCGGCCGCATTGAGGACGTCACCCCCACGCCCTCCGACTCTACCCGCAGAAAGGGTGGTCGCCGCGGTCGTCGTCTCTGAGCGCCCGGTTTTACATTATTACCTGGGTGGCTTCCGTGGGACAGGAGCGCTCATTATTTGGTTTCTTGGTGGCATCGCGAAAAACGCGGGGAACGGCGCCTTAGCCTGGTCCCCACTCTACCTCTACGCACTGTGACATGCCTTCTGCTGCGGGCGACAGTATCTATCGTAGACAGAATAGAAACTCGCCATATATGGCCTGAACTGAAGAGTAGCTCCTGAACCCTCGACAAACTTGTGCACATAATGCGATGCTGTGATGTGATATGTGAATCACCGAGTAGTCTACATCACTGCTTCACTGTTCTCAAATCTTGATTATATGAAAGCCTGAGATGTCGTTTCGATATGTCTTCGCGGATCTATGCCGCGGTATAAGGCTGAAAGCGACCACGCCAGCCCGAAACGCCATTCTCCTGACCTTCAATATTTACGTGATTGCCCTCAAGTCGCCCAAGGGAAACTGGGACTGTTCAGCCACTACTTGAAAGCAGGCTTTAGCGTCCAAGTACCCCTACCCGTGCCACCCGTCTTCCCCAGGACGGCTACCCTGTCCAACGCACTCTTGAAGTCGTCCGTCTGCTTTGGAGTCTTGCAATACGGATTGAAGTGATCAACCAGCATCTTAGTCACTGCCTTGCCTCCTTGACGTCTCATGAAAGTCTGGATCAGGGGTATGAAATCCTTCTCCTTCAAGGGCTTGTCCGTACCTGGAGTATTGCCCCGTGAACTGGAGCCGTTGGCCGGCTGGCTGAGCCCCTGACGATCCGCAAGGGAAGACATGACCGCCGAAGAATTCACTCCGCGGCGTCGCGATGCAGTAGGTCGGCCTCCCTCGCCTATCTCGCCAGTCCAGGTGACAGTTCCGATGGGGATGCGGCGCGCAGCCTCTCCAGCTCGTCGCAAATGGGCGGCAGCCTGGGCCGCTATCTTGTTCGCTTCGTGTCGATTCATGGCCTGGTCAGCCTGCACCTTCTTCTTACCATTCATGATTTGGTCATGCTCGTAGGCGCTATCCACAGTTCGAGAAAACAGATTCTCGGTAATGCGCTTCTCCTCGCTGTCATCTGTAGGCTCCGTGAACTCTTCCATTGCAGCGACGCCGGAAAGCTTGCGGACCGTGTCGACTTCGTCTTCTGCCTTGACGGAGGAGATGGGAACGGCGTTCTTTGACGGCTTCTCCAGCTGATTGTGGCCCTCTGACTGGTTGAACTTGACCTCCGCGCCCTCAAAGACCTTGCTTCTATTGGCGCTGGCCATACTATGGCTATTGTCGCCAAAGCTAAAGAGGTCATAAAGGTCAGAGAGATCGAAGTTGGCCCGCTGCTTCGGGTCTTTGAGGACTTTGTTCGTCATAAATTGCTTGAAGATCTGGCGGTGGTAAATCTTCTCCTCGATAGTGCCCGAAGTCATTAGCCGGTAAATGGCGACTGGCTTTGTCTGGCCGAGTCGCCAGGCTCTCTCTCGCGCTTGCAAGTCAGTTGACGGATTCCAGTCAGGGTCGTAGATGATGATCCTGGTCGCTCCGGTGAGGTTTACACCTAAGCCGCCCACTTTAGTCGTCAACAGGAACACGTCAATGGAGGGATCGTTGTTGAACTTGTCGATCAGAATTTGTCTCTTCTCGATAGTAACGTCTCCATCCATGCGTAGGTAGTTCATTCCCTCCATCTTGCCGATATAGTCCTGGATGATGTTGAGCATGATTTTGGTCTGGGAGAATAGCAGCGTTTTGTGCCCAAACTTCTTCCACATCGGAAGCAGGTCGCCAACCATTTGCAACTTGCCAGATCTTCTGGGGCTTCCCCAATCGTATCCTGGTTGGTTCTTCCTGTTCACACTAACAAGATCCGGATGGTTGCAGATCTTCCGCAGGATATCGATTCCGTAGAGTGATTGACGCTTTTTGGCCATGATTTGAGAGACCGCATCCGAATGAATGAACCTGACGTACTCCTCATTTTGTTCCGGCGTTAGCTTGCAGAACAGCACCTGTTCCGTCTTTTCCGGCAGGTCTGATGCCACGTCGACCTTGAGCCGCTGAAGCAGGTATTGGCTAATGGTTTCCTTTAAAGTCGTCGCGCATTTTTCAGCAGTCATGACCGCAAGATTAGTCGCATTCGCGTGCCCACCCATCTTGATAGGAATCTCAAACTGTTGTCTGAAGTTGACCAGAGTCCCTAGTCGCATAGGGAAAATGAAATCGAATAAAGACCACAGCTCGGTGAGGTTATTCTGGATTGGCGTACCCGACAGGATCAGGCGGTGTGGTGTGTTGAGACACTTGGCTTGATATGTGACATTTGCATTAGGGGTGCGAATCCTGTGGCCCTCGTCGAGGATGGCGTAGCCCCATTCCAGGGACAGCAGTTGCTCGCCATAGGTGTTCAAGCCAGCGTACGTGGTGACCAGGACGTGTCCATGCTTGGCAACGCGCCTGACGATACGCTCTGCGGCGTCACGATTCGTCCTATCTCCAGGATAATCTTCATCGTCATCATCCTCAGCCACATTGACCATGCCGCTACCAGACGAGTGTAAAATCGACACTCTCAGAGGGGGCCACCATCGGTGGAATTCATTAACCCACTGCTGCATGACAGTCGCGGGGACGACTACTATGACGGGCTTGTCGAGCTTCTTGGTGTAGTGTAACGCCGCAACGAAAGCAATTGCTTGCACTGTTAAGCTTATTAGTAAGATTGCGTTCATCTGTTACCAAAACTTCTTACCTGTCTTTCCAAGGCCCATCTCGTCCCCGATGATGCCGCCTACGCCTTGCTCATAAAGCTCAGCGAGCCAATGAACGCCGGTCTTTTGATACGCGAACAGCGACGCATGAATGTCTCCCGGGAGCCTCAGCCCGTTACCGAATTCGTGGTCAGGCTGATCAGGCGAGGGTTTAAACCATTCCTCCTCGCCATTATCTTCAATTGAGGCGTCGCCAGCAGCATTGGCACTTTGCTGTTGACGAGCTGCACTCCGTCTCCTGACCCAATCAGCAAGGCGTGCTTGGTAGATCGCCTCATTTCCATCGTCGACGCTGCTCAGGTCGACCTTTGTATTACCAACGGTGACTGTATTCTCCGCAGCCTTCTTATGCTTGTTCTTCTTATCTGTATTTGTGCCCTTCTTCCGCTTGCGACCTGTGGCTTCTTCCTCACTAGTGTCCGAAGCGTACTGGCTTTCAGCCGAACTCACAGTCGATGCATCGAATTCATCGGACGATGCTCCTTCATCCATCTTGCGTTTTTTTCTTGGTCGTAGAGAAAATTCGGTCTCAACGAATGCCGGAGCTGCTTCTGGATGTTCAGCAAAGCCTGGCATGCGCAATACTTGATGAGACTTTGGCTCTTCATCGTCGCTCTGGTATTCCTCCGCAGCCGCGTCTTGCTCGGCCTCGACAAGAACATCTGCTAGCTCGCCTTCGAAACCATCGGGTCGTTCGCCACCAATGTTGGCAAAGGGCGTGATCTTTCCGGTCCGGACGAGGTATTCTCGGTGCGACTCGCCGGCCAAGCGTTTAGACTTGATTTTGACAGGATCCTCCACAATCGCAATCTCTTCCTGTCTCTTATCGATGCGAGCTTGGCAGTCCGAGATGTCGTTGATGGCATTCTCAATCTCTAAGTCCAGCTTATCGAGCTCCTTCTGTATGATTCGTGACTGATAAGGGTTACGTCGAGCTCCTTCCAGCTTCTTCCGTTGATCTACTCTTTTTGCCTCAAGTTTATCTTTAGTGGTTTCCAGCTTTTCAATGCGCTGCTTATCCTTCTTGTCTTCTGCCTCAATCAAGGCGGCGTTGGCCTGTGTTGTGATATCGCGCTCTAAATCATCTTGATCCCGGATATCGGCTGTGATAGTCCGCAAAAATGCCGCCTCGTCTCCCTCAAACTGAACTGCTGTGGTTCTGGGTGCATCTGCTTCAGTGCTAGAGGGTGCGCTTTCCTCACTTATCTTCTCGGCAACTATGCCGCCATCTTCTTTGTCGGACGACATCTTGAGATCCGATGACGGAGAGTTTTCATAAACCCATGCCCGATATTCCAGATTGCGAGCCCCAAGATCTTTGATGAGGCCGGTTTTGATCAGCGAGTTGCGCAACAGACAAACAGCAGTGTCGGTGGTTGAAAAATGGGAACGTAAGTGAAGTTGAGAACGGATATGAGCTCAGGTGGCGGACATGCCTGTAGGTACCAAGCTAAGTGAGCGACATGCAAGATCTGGATTCCAAGAAACCGTCGTGAGGATAATCGTGTGTGTTGTAAAAGTGACCGGTGAGATTGTAAGGCAAAGATTCAGGACAGGCAGCAGCGCGTCAGGCTTGAGCGTTCACCAGCGATTCTCTCTGGAAAACGATGACGCCACGGCAAGGCAGGAGCGAACGGTTCGCGCAGTCAGCTGCTCTGAACAGGGATCTTAATGGGAAAACTTGGTGACGAATTTGATTGGTAGGATTTGTCAGTCCCAGGCTTCCAATCCCATCGGCATGCGGACTTATATTAGATAAGCACTTGCTGGCCGGAGGCTCTTTTGCAGCCACAATGAGGATGGGAAGGGCAGCCACACCTGACTAATGCGGCGTTCTGGTGCCATGAAGGAGCTCCTACAAGGGTACTCCGTGCGCACCTCTCTACTCATCTTGTCATTGCTGGGATTCAACTACCTTACATCCAAACCTGTTGCGTCTATCAGAAAGAAAACTTCGTATACAACTACGCCGGCAATTATATTTGTTGTTCTCGGCCATGATTAAACGCCCTTCACCTGGCATTCTCTCAACGGTCGGCCACGGCCTTCGGTCCAAGCACCGTCCCTCGTCGACCCTACGGAGCGCTCCCAAGATGGCTCCCGTCTGGCTACAACCCTACCTCGATCATTTGCCTCAGAAGAGCGCACCCAAGCTCTATGCTTGGAGCCTGTCCAACTTGGACCAAAATAATTCAGTCTTGAGCCCCTCGGCCAGTCGGTCAGATGGATCAATTTCTCATCAACAACAC